GGTGATGGAACTTCCTTTTTGTGGTAATGAGAAATAACAGATATATTTTTACCAAAATGGAAAAGGCTGTAGATAACAATGTAGGAAATTTTCAACAGCCAGGGCATGTCACAAATACATCCCTTTTACATTGTCTGGGATTACTAAGGAATCTCAGTTACATTTTATCTTAGTTAAAAAAAAAAAAGACGACATAGGTCTATGTCATCATTAATTTTGTCCTTATGTAAACTAAGGAAATATCCTCCAATGACTTCTGAAGTTTTTTTCCAATTTCTATAATTATGAAATAAACCAACTTGTTTTGTATGTGCAAGACTGTAAAGCAGATTGGCCCATATAAATAGGAATTGTGTTTTCCAGATGTTTGTGTTTCCAGATGTTCGTGTTTTCCATCCTCCCTCAGATGATGGAAGATAACTGGTGAACGTTCATTGCCCCGTATAAAACATACTTGAGATAAGGTACTTTGAGTTTTACTACAAGGTAAAGAACAGCAGGTCTTTAGGGTGCTGCACTGGTGCCTGCGTAATAGCCAGCATCAGCAGAACCCTTGTTTAAACTTGGCTATCACGCTGTGACATCTTTTCAGAATCAGCATTCTTAACAAAAGTGAGAGATTGTGCTAATGAAGAATTGTGCTTTGTAACACTTGGAAGAGTGAGTAGCAAATCAGTGTCTGTATACTGTGTCAGCCACTAATACCAAAAGAACAATCTGCAAATGCCTAGCTGCTTCCTAAGTTTTCTCTGGCAGCATTCCATGGCTTGCAGGTGGTGAAGCTAGGCTTGGGACTCTGGTACTGCAGGGTTCATCCTGCAGAAGTGCCTCAGATGACAGAACCAAGGAAGACAAATAGAGGTTGTTTAGATTTCTTTGAGAGACAAACTTGGATGCATGAAGTACAATTTTAATATTTTTTTCTATTATAAATATTAAACTGAAATCTTACAATTTATATAAAATCTTTACAATCTGTACACTTTTTCAATCTTCTCAAACACCATTAAACCAAAAATTTTTCAAGTTGCCATAGAGATCAGTTACAACAAAATAACAGATTGCTACTGTAACAAAAACATATTTCCAAAAACATACATAAGCGACTTTAAAGGCAGTGGTGTTTAATCTGAATATGAGCAGTAGCCCTGCCTTGTTAATTGTGATACCACGCAATCAATTTACTTTTACACGATCAGAATTCACACTTAAAAAATAAACAGTAGTTGGGGTGGTGGTGGTGGGGAGAACCGGGATGACACACACTTGGTTGTTCTTCCTTCCTGTATGTACATGAAACAGCTGAGCCCAGAGAAGGAATAAAGGTGAGTGCTTTTCATTTAAGTTAGCCATGACAAGATACATTTCAGTATCAGTGTTTGCTAACGTGACTTTTCAACAGCACATAGTACTTTATCATCTTTTTTTCCCAGCATAAAGCAACTTGAAGATTAATACAGATGTGAGTCATTTTTGTTCAGTAGCTTTGTCAGTTTTAGCACTATCCCTGCAGTCAGTTTCTGCTATTAGTCTTTCATGCAGCAAAAAGGGAGTCCCAAAAGAACAAAGAAGGGACCACTACCATAACATAAAATAAAAAGCAAGACAAGTGCATGGGGATTTGGGCAAACAAAACCTGAAGGTACTTTGAGAGCTCTGAACTTCTCCATGTATCAACTGACTCTGAAGCAGGAAGTTTTCAGCATATGCGAAGCACCACATACTTGTTCTGTAAGATACTTCTGCACACAAATCCCTTTTAAGTCAAGTCATTCAGATCATTTGTAGGAACAAGATTACAACACAAAGAAACATTAAGTTAGTAGTTAATCTAGTACAAATCCATGGTCCTAACTCAAGTTTGTATTAAGTACTCAACCTAGTCACACAGTAGCCTTTGGGCCAGCTGATGGTGTCACAGAAATTTTCTAAATAAGAGTTTGTTCACAGTCTCTACCCCACAGCATAGACAAAGTATATGCCTACACACAAATTGTATTGGAATCCAGAGTTTAGACCACAAGCAAGCAGTTACCTTAGCTGCCCCACAGGATTCAGGAGTCTTAGCTGCCCTTTTGGAGTATTTTCAAAATACATGAAAATACATTCAACTTTTGTTTATTTTACTTGTTGCAGAAACAGACTTTTATTTGCTAAATGCCTACTAGAAATAAGCCTTGCTGTAGTTCCCTGAACAGAGGACAAAAATCAAGAAGCTTCCAGGAAAGGGGCAAAGCAAGTTTGCAGACATGACCTGAAAGCTATTCTGACTGCTTCATTGACCAAAGTGCAATTCCATGTGAATTGTAAATAATTCAGGTTTAGTGTATGAGGAAATAAAAGCTGCACAATCTTCACAGCTGCTGTTTTTTATCCTATACATTTCAGTTATTTACAGTAAGATAACAGAAAATCTACTACTACTACTACAACTATTTCCCTCCATTTGTTTTTACTTATACACAGAGATGCAAGCACAATCTCAGTTCAAAACAAGAATTTAGAATCACTAAACTGGCAAGTAGTTTCAAATGGACTTTTTTTTACAAATAAAGCATTCTTATACTTGATAAGGACTGTAAATTGTGGATGGAACGTACATTTATACAACTCTGAACACAAAGGACACATGGTATTGTAATAGGTTGACTAAATTTCAATCTATAGTGGACTTGTAACTTACAAGTTTTGAGGATCATTAAGTGGACTTTGTAGATAATATATCAAAGTCATAACTTTCTGATGTTTAAATGTTTAAATGATGACAAATCCCTGTTTGATAAATGCAAGCAAGTTTTATACAACTGTAAGAGTACAGATTGTCTTGGAATGCAAATGCAATTTTAAAATTGTCTATTCTGACAAGTAGATTTATTGGTAACTTGATAGACTGTTTTGTTTTCTCTTAACAATATGTACACTTTGTAGCTTTAAGAAAACTACGTTACCTCCCTAACACCTTCTACTATACAAAATTTACACACATAAGAGCACGCTCATCTTGACTCTTTACCTAAAGTGCATATGAAAACTGGGAGAGAGAAAATGGAAAAACCTTGGTTAGAACCAGAAGACGTCAGGAGCTCTGGAATACAGTATGTTGCACTAGGATTACTGCGCAGTTTCCCTCATAATATGGCCCTCGAGGTTCTACTCAACAGTAGTGTCCAGTTTGACATGAAAGAAAAATACTCAGCCTTGGCTCATATCTACTGTATGTGGGCAACAAGTTATCCCTTAAGCCAAATATATAGAGCTAACTGTTCCAAGCTGTGGCATGGAATGCAAAAATGGAAACAGTAATGTAAATGCTTCCATTTCAATGTAAACTCTTTCTAGTCTTATCTCTTTTACCTTAACAAAGGTAAGCGTTTGAGCAACAGGACTTCTAAAGCTCTGAAAGATGTTTAAAAACATTGTCAGTTTTTCTTAACAAAGTCTAAGAATCAAATATCATTAGCTTAACTACTCCTTTTAATATTCTTGTTAAACTTTGGAAACAAAGCTGACAGTTCACTTCATGATTCTAATTGGTTTCAGCCACAGTGAGAAGGAACTGTTTCTCTTAATGGAGTATTTCTACAGTTTTACTTAAATACTCAGCTTTATCCAACATTAGTTTCTACAAACCTGAATTTGGGCCAAATCTGAGGTGACAATCTTACGAATAGCTACTTTGTCAGAACACTTGCAGAGTAAGGTGTGGTGCTGGCAGCCAAGTCACTGGGGAATCCACATGGCCTTCATCATGAACAGAAACTTCAGCAACAATATCACTCCTTTTAAAAGCAAACCCAGAAGATACTATTTTCATTACACAGATAATGCTAAATGACCTTAAAAAGTCAAAGGAATGGATTTATACACTTGGGACTGTATGTTTAATATGGAAATGAGGTGAGTAAAGAGGATATTTCTGTTTAACATCCTTCAGACTCTCTCTCTGCAGTTTACTTGGTAAAAGCAGCTTTATCACAACCCCTCCTTCAGTCTTACATTCTTCCACAGGATATTTCCTCTCTGGTCTGCTAGGAACAGTCTCTGTGTTGTAGGTTGTCAACTACATGGTTCCTTCTCTGGATTGTGAGAGATTCAATTGTTTTATGTGCCTGTTCGAGCTGGATCTTTAATCCTTCATTGTCTGCCTTTAGAATATTTCTTTCCTTAAAAAAAAAAAAAAAAAGGAAGAATGGTATTTTATTTTGAATTTATTTCAGGACTGTCTGATTGTATGTTTAGGTTGACTGGCATAAACATAAGTTGGTGTAGCTCTTATCAGTGGAACATAACCAGGAACTTATTTGAACATTTCTGTAGTCACTGGTCTATCCTTTGTGTATGCTCTTAAAATTTTCCAGCACCTGGTATCTGACAGTCACATCCACAACCTGCATTCATTCACCTTCCACTGCTCCTCTCCTAACAGCAATAATCTAGGGAAACAAGAACACAGCTCACACTTCACTGTTCTACTAATGCAGAAACTGATATACAATAATCTAAGACATTAATTTATAACATCAGCTGCTGTTCAGTAATTGAGGTCAGGATCTGCTGAGGGAGCAAGGACAAGCATAAACTGTGGGACTCATATGAATGGGACGTTTTAAAGAACCAGTTTTACAAGTACATCCACACTTCACACCTTTGTCTATGCTGAATGTACTGAAAGTGGTCTGTACTGGAATATTCTTGCTAATTGTCTTAATAAACCAATCATCTTTCATAAAAGATGAGCTCACTTTACTAATGGCAAAGGATACTTTGAAAGTTATACTGATCATTGAAAGATCAGGCTGTGATCCTTTTGTTGGTGGACTGTTTCCATGTTGGTCCATCTCAGAATAGTGGTAGTAATAAGTATGAAAATAAGTCCGCCTTTGTTCCTCATAATCATATCTGGATCCATCCATCAGTCTCATTGTTGATACTGTGACAGTCTCTTTAATCTGTCTGGAAAGGTGTTGCTTCTACAAACCTGAATTTGGGCCAAATCTGAGGTGACACAGTCTTATGAATAGCTATTTTAGCAGAACACTTGTAGAGTAAGGTGAGCCACAACTGGGCTGATGCAGATGAAATCTAGCAAGAGGCATCATGTCTGTTCACACAGCAAAATTTCTTGGTGACTTAAAAGTTATCAAAAAAAAAAAAGAAGGGATTCACTGTCAGTTGAACAAAAGCAGAGCCCCCAGCCCTCCCCGCCCCACTTATTCTGTCACTTAGGGGAGCAGAGGCCACCAAAAGCAGGAAGAAATTCAGGAGTATGTTACTCATTTTATGGAGTAACATCCTGTCCTAAGCAACTGGATTATGTTCACGTTCTTGACTGTCACTTTTAAGACTGAGAGGGATTAGTGTAATCATAAGAAGGGCTTCAAAATTTATTCCCTAAGCCCTATACTAGTACTAAAATCTATGCTTGAAGTGAAGCATTGCTGGAGTTACAGTTGCTAAGAATTTATGATGCCACTCGTGGATTGTTCTGGCAATTAATTACACTGGACTAAGGTGACACCTTCCTACCCCGCCACTCCCCCTCACCCTCCAACCACTTTACGGTACTGTTGTGTAAACCAGAATTTGTTTCATCATGTAGGTACCTGCTCAAGTTCCTGGTATGAGGGTTTACAGCTATGATGCTCCTCCTTCATTTTCTGGCTGGAGTCCTTGTTTTCCCATTTAACATATGCCTTTCTGCGGCCTAGAATTGGGCTCGGACACGGGGATGGTGGAGCTGCCTGGAGATAAGGATTTTCTGGCATCCTATATTCTTTCTTCTCTGTCTGCCTACGAGATGATACATCACCAGCCAGCAGTACGGGATCAGTCTGTGTGCCTTTATGAACCACAGCTGGTTTCAGTCTCACTGAGATTTTCTGAGCTGAGGAACCCATGAGCATAATGGTTCGGTCCTTGCTATCTTCATTGTGTTCCACTGCTTCTCCATTAGGAAATGTGAACAGTCCTTCTTCTTGTCCTGTAGAATACGTATGGTAAACTGAGTCAAGATTTTATCCCAGGAAAGGAGAAACAGGAGGCACAGTAATGAAACATGATTTTAATAAATGAAACATTTATTCTTTATTGATTTTACATTCATTGCTCTCCAAAATAGGTGTCACTGGAAGTTTCTCAATGCTGCATCTCTTGAAACAGCTCTTTGCCCTGTCTCAGTAACATAAATATGGATCACTAGAGGAAAACAGGTGTAGCATCAAGGTCAGCTACAGAAAAACCTCTAGGTGGCTGAGAGGTTTTAAATAGACCATTGATCACCATTAGTGATTGGGCTGGAAGATCAAACCTGGGTGTTAGTTCAGCGTTATCACAACTTGCAGTGGTAAGATACAACTTATCTACTTTATAAAGGTGAAATATTGACATTTTAAAGTTTTACACTGCTTTTGTATAGGTGTTCCTAAAATACTTTTAGTTTTGTAGTTAAAAGTAAAAACAGGGAGCGGGGGGCGGGGAGGGTGGTGAAATCCACAATGTCAGAAGCAGTGGACAAAAGATGTGATTAAAGGATTTAAAGACAACCTGTTTCAGATAAAGTAATTTCTGTTGTTGGGAAGAAAACAAAATGAGACTGTATGTTCAAACACATGATGGGAAAGAACAAAGTCAGTCCAGTAGCTGCTCACGTTCTGGAGAATTAAATGGGGATGGAGGAACAGATGATGCTTACACCTTCAACCTGGACCTGAATTCTCATTCTTTGACATGATGTAGCATTGAGAGGTACCATATTCTGGTGCCCTGGGTGATGACGGAGCAACACGCTGCAGTTCAATCTCTCTATAAGTGTGACATCCCACGAGGTGGTGGTTATGCAGCTGCAGCCCATGCAGGTGCAATCATAGAGATGCACATGGTCAGTTATCAAGAGAAATTGGCTGCACTGTGCTCCACGTAAATGCTAATAGGAAGCCTAAGATGGAATCCAGCAGTATGAATCTTAAATACAACACAAAAGATTGATATCAAAGTGGCAAGTAGTAGATTTGAAGAACTTTAGATACAGGCAGAAAGCAGGAGATAAATTAATGAAAGTGGATACGGAGAGAGTTGGAACATCAAAATCAAAAGAAAACAAAAGTAGCCTGAGGTCTTATTCAAGGCCTCCTTTGGAGGCCTACATGGTAACACACAATATGAAAAGTTTATACAGGGTGTTAGATATAAGGAGAAAAGAACAGAGAGGTGTAGATTTTTCATTTCTTATTGAATGAAGGATGGACATATGAAGAAGAGTTGTAGATTCAGCTACTGAAGTGGAAAAAAAAAAAAACACAATTAGCTGTCGGTTTTCTTAGCGCACAGACATATAAGTAAACTGACTTTAAAACTCCACGTTGAAATATGAGTCAGAATTTTAACACTGTGGTAGTTGCTTAATGTGGCAACAGTGGTGAAAACTGGAGTGTGCCAAGACCTGCTTGCCAAAAGGTGAGAGAGTTAAGGGAACCTGTCAGCTGATCAGTTCATGGCATCTAGTTCTCCTGAAAGTCTAGCAGATTTACTCAGTTTTCGTGGCATTTGTGCACCACATATAGTGTAGTGTCGCAAAAGGTCTCTCAGAAAGGGCGTCCTTACTTAGACTAGAACTGGAATGGTGTTACTTGGTACAGGCTCACTTATGCCTGGTTCTAGTTTGTATGTTGATAAAATACTGCAGTTAACTAACAAAACCTAAAACGATACTTTAAAAGAAAAAAAAGCAAAGGAAACACTGTCTGTATCTTTTGATCTTTCTAATGTGATCTTTTCTCACCATGGAATTGCTCTTTGACTCCTACTGGGCAGAGGCTTGAAGCAAGAGCAGATGTTGGGCTGCTATCTGCCACTGAAGTTTTGGGTCTTCTCTTGCACTCTATCACAACCAGGTCTTTGCATTGCTTGTGACAGTTCATTCCGCAGTCTGTAAACAAAGCAAAGATTCCATGATTCAGTGGCTCTGTTGTAGCATCTAAGATCAGTTCTCACACTGCGTTCCCTCTCCAGGAAGCAAGAAAGCTTCTTTGGTGTTCTCTATATGGATTACCTCTAACAACATACATCTGGTAAACAGACCAACTACATCCCTTTGGCTATATACACTTAAAACTCCTTTTCATTGATAAAATACAAACCAGCAACATTCAGTCACAACAGTGTTCTGACTGTAGGAGTTGCAGGGAAAGCAGGTACTTGTATGAGGAAGAAAACTCTGTAAAAGATGTTGTGAATGTGCTGCACAGTTTTCACAGGGTGTTGGTGTTTGCACCCAGTGGAATAGATGGGTCTGTTCCCAAACCCTCTGAATTCACCAGTGTTTTACAAAGTGTTAGAGCTATCACTTCTGAGTTTCTTCATCTTTGCATTTCTTCCGGACCACCTGTCTATCATGCTATTCTCGAATCTCCTCCCTGAGAGGTCAGACTAAATAGGTCCATAGATGTAGCAATGGATCTCAGGATGACCAGGTTTTTTTGTCATTTACCATCAATTATAGATTAAAATTAACAAGGCATAAAGTACTTTACCTTTGCATCTGTATCCTTGTTTAATGACTCCCCATAGCTGAAATTCAAACAAAGAGAAAGACTACGTATTAATATATTTCTCTGCACATTTGATACCTTCAGATATAAAAAACCACTAAGAGCTCCACTCATTTCTAAGATCTGAGTAACTGCAGAATATCTTGTCTTTCTACCCTTTCAATGGTAAAGTCAAAGAAAGAATGATTTACCACTTTAGCATAAGGTACGGAGAATATTTTATGCTTGTTCTTCAATCACAAACAAAATACCTTGAGCTAGTCTCCAATGAATACATCAGCAGATCTGACAGCCCCCCGAGAAGTTGAGGAGCTGGAGTAGATGGAGAATTCGATCTCAGCTACACTGGGGATTCGTAGGACAGTCAGTTTTACTAAATCTTTCTGTGCCATGGGCAGGGGGCATGCGATGTCTGTACCAGGACATGAGTTCTAAGCGCCGCATGGAGTGGAAGGCTCTGGATTTGGAAGTCTTGCCTGAGACTGTGTGTGGTGACCCAACCAAACACCACAAGGTAGAAGCCATGTTTAAACAGGTAATAGTACTGCCTAGAGGGTTGTAAGGTTGTAAAGGGAAGCCTGGTGTTCGGTATAGCTTCACTGTGTTTTATATACATCCATTTCTGTATATGACACATGGTGATTATGAGATAAAAAAGGCATTATTCCAAACAATGTTAACATAATTTACTAAAAAGTAAACTTACAAATCCAGCACAGTTGTCACAGAAAGTGGGCCTTAAGTAAGTGGTCTCTTGGAAGTTGTGAGCAAAGCCAAGTCCTAATTTGGAATAGATTGAGCTAGCCCTCATAAAGTAAGCTGTTATTTCATCCCTGCTGATCAGACCTTCCCTGAAAATAAACAAGAGAACTTGTTTGTGAGACATACGTTTTCTTAAAAGCATAAAGAGAATAAAACATGTCTTTCTTCACAGTTTATAATGGCAACAGTTTAATGGGCCAAAAACTACAGTGATCTCAGTAATCTTGTCAGCTGCTCCCAAAGTCTATAGAAGCTTATTTACACATTTAAAATGCAGCCTGTAAGGATAAACAAAATATCTGCATCTGTGATGCAACCTCAAAACTACTTCACAGAAAACCTCTCAATAATTAATATTGTGTTTTCCCATGCTTTAATAGCTTAAGAAAAATGTTGTTAATTTGACCAAAATATATATTTGCCAATTCTGTATTTTTGAGGGACAAGTTTATCTTAGGAAAGTTCTTTAGTAGTATATACTGAATATAATTCAAAATAATATTTCTTTTTCTATTATTTGTTCTTCCTCCATTATCAGCCTGGTTACCATTGCTGTAAGGTCATGAAAATGTCACTCAACACATTTAGAAGATGCTTTTGTCAGTTATGTTTTCACTTCTATTTATGGGTGAAGAGGATGATTTTTACCACCCTAGTGATAGAAATAAAATTTAGAAACAAAACCCCCAAATCCCTCCCAAAACAGATGCTACAAAGTTGATGAGCAGAACTAGGTACTCACCAGTCCTTAGCCATTACACAAAATGAGAATGGAAAACTGGCAGCTATCTTTTCAAATTCTTCCTGGGATATGTATCCATCCTGATCATGGTCATAATTTTTGAAGACAGACTGTGCAAAGTAATAGTAGAATAGTTTATAATGTGGATGGGCTGAATTACCACTTTAGAAAGTCTCCACAATATATACGGATTTCCTCACCCACTTCCTCCCAGTATCTATTAAACAGTGCAACAGTCTAACTGTTTTTTTTGCTTGAGACTAAAGGAGCATTATGATTTCTTGATTTGTAGCAAAACGTAGATAAGTCAACACAGGCTGGACTAAATGCTTCACTACACAGTGACAGCCCTTCTTCAGTTTCACTTTAAGATCATTATGTCCAGGCCTACACATACAACTTGTACTAACACTCTCAATTAGTGGTCTCAGTGATGACCTCTGTAGCCAAATCAGTGTAGCTGCCTAGCTTATTTCATCAGGTCAATGTTACCTGAAAAGTAGGTACATGACGGAATTGTCATGTAGACACCTCTTTCCACTTGTGGAATGACATTACTGTTTGTCTCTGGCCCTAAGGCAAGGAGTACACCTAGGCCAAATTTATAAATTTATTCCAAAACAGCATGTATCAAAGGATACCTAGCAATATTAGAAGTGTTTAAAAGGAAAAAAGAGGTAAAGCAGGGATGCAAAGACAAATTCTTTACCTCTCTCTGTCAGTTTTGGAATCCATCACCTGAGCTTACTTGATGGTTTCCAGTAAAGTGGGTGACCCAAAAGAGAGAGAAAAAGCAATGGCTACTACTAACAAAGTCATTGAGAGGCCCACTTTCAGACTCCACCAGTAACATGATGTTGGAGTCCCTAGCTCCTTAGAAGAATGACTCTGGAAGTATACAAACCAGCATTCATACACATGGCTGGCTCCTTAGCCATTTAAGGAATTTCTTTCCATGCCTCACTGGCCGCTGCTGCTACTTACAGCTAGCAGAAATATCTATTCATGAGGATAGAAATGCTAACAAATTCAGCACAGCTTCAAATATGTCCAGTATTTTTTCCCTTCTTTGTATCTTCTCACATGTAGAGATTAAGGCTATGACTGATACGTAAGGTAAATGGGCGAACCATACTTACATCTACCATCCTCTGAACATGTTTGCTGATGGTTTTTGGATCAGGTTTAGGGGCTACCCCTGAGGCCCAGTCTGCAACTACTGGTGGTCTGGAAGGTGTCAAAGGCTAGAATAAATTGAATGGAACTTCCTTAGTACCACTTGGAAAGGTTTTCAGTATTACTTTTCTTTCATTTGTGAGAATGGAGTACATGATACAGGACTGCAGAAATGGCCTGTTGGACCCAACATCATACTTTTGATAATTATGTAGTACTTCAGAGGAAGCTTTTCCCTGAATTGTTCAAACAGTGTTCATTCTTAAAGTTGTCACAGTTCACCAACAGCCCTGTAAATTCACTGTCCTTTACATATTTATAAAACAGAAACAAAACTACAGTATAACACTCATGGATTTCATCATTTGAATCACATAAGATTTTTCCATTTAAAAGAATCAGTATCAATTGCCTGATGTCATGTCTCTACACAAGTAACTGCATCTGTATTTGTGTATTATAAAACCAGAGATGGTGTCAGGTCTTTCATACATTCTAGCTTAGGCTTCATCATGAACCAAGCAGTTTATGCTTTAACAAATTTTGTTTAGTGTATAAAGCTAAAACGTTCAATAAAATGAATGCAAGGGATAAAAGTTACATTACTCATTTTAAAAAAAAATCTTTTTGTTAAGAATGTGGAAAAGCCCTTACAGCAGCTCGATGACTTCGTGGCTCTCGTGCATATGAAAGCTCATAAATTTCATCTTCTGTGTAGTAAAGATCAAGGGACAGCTGAAAACAAACACAACATTAGTTTAATACCAAAAGAGTCCCTACTACTTGACAAACTTGTTCCTGGCAAGCATTAGTATTTTTCGGTGGACTGATTTTTAATTTAGGTTGCACCTAGAAAAAACGCACATGAGCTGCACAGGTGTTCACAGCAATTTGAAATGGGCACATTTCTAAATTCCAGACTCTTATTGCTATTATCTGGAAACCTGTAACATTACACAGCTAGTCATTAGCACAGCAAATGACTGTAGGTGTAATTAGCAGTCAGTTAATAAGTAAACTGAAAAAAACTGTTAGTCCCATAATATTCGAATGGTCTATTGTGCAACTAAGCATAGAAACACCATTCCGATGAAACTGTCCATCAACTCAAATTCTCAGAAAACCCTTGTTTAAACATGTCAGATTTATCCAATCCAACAGTGATCACGTTGAACTAAGAAGTATATTATTAGGATAAAAGATGGACTTGCACATATTTAGTGAGAACCTTTAGCTGTTAACAGCAGTTATGTAAAGCAAGAAACATTACACCTGGGTAAATAAAGGAATTTGAAAAAAATTATCAACTTTATACCTTTGCTTGTGTCCTGGAAAATAGTATAGCAAATATTTTATTGACTGGAAACAAATTTCAAGCTAAGATTGAAGACTAGTAACATGACATTTTTTGAGTATTTACATTAAAATATTCACACTAGACATATGATTGAATAAAAAAAGCCAGACGTAAATGTCTCACAAGCCTCAATCCATGGCAAGTCCAAAGAAAATATAAACTTTTTATAGAGAGTCAAGATCACAGCAGTCATATGCATATAAACTAAAAAACCAAAATATGCTATTTTATGTAATGAATAATCTTACTTGAATTACACCTATGCAATAACTTTCTTGTGAACAACTGCAAGAATTACTGTTGTAGTCACAACAGTGAATAATTTTAGATTACTGGGGAAATCTTGGTTGTTTCTGATGCTGAAAAAACCTGAAAGTCCAAATGTTATGATATTTCTATGAATTATTGACTTATGTATGTAATTACTAATAGCTATTCAAACTGATTTGCCTCCTAATGGGAAAGCATCTGACTAAAGGAAACAGAAGAAGGAGAAAGACTGTTGGAAAAATCAGGGAACAAACAGGAAAATTATGTGCCCTGGAATATTAGCAGATTAGAAGCTCCTGCTTTGAAATGAATTATTTTAATTTATGTCCTGTCATATATAGCTGCAGGAGATTGTGGCCAAAGTTCTACATATTTGTAACAGCCATTTTTATAAAAGATTTTTTTAAAAAAGGGGGGGGGGTGTGTGTGATACCTACAATGATTTGATACAAAACATTTAAAACATTTAGCAGGAAGAAATTCACTGCTTTATGTGGCTCTATTTCAGGCCGCAGGTCTATGCGCTTAATTTCACACACGAGCGCTCCCAGAAAGAACAAATAGCCTCAAGCACATAAGCATTTTTATCTATTAGCTTTTTGCTGAAACAGGGCTCATAACCAGAAAGTGGAAGCAGCCTGTCTAGTTTTTCCAAGCTGAGGTACTCGTTAAAGTCAAACAAAACTGAGAAACAAGAAAGGTAGATTTACTATTTTAATAAAAAGTAGTATTTTAACTTACTAGAAGAAGCTAAAAGTATTGTTGTGACACACATCCTAGGTATTATCAATTTTGTTAGTAACAAGGCACTGACTAGATATGACTGGAAGAGTAATACAACAACTATATTTAACGAACATTTATGCCAGACCGCTTTTTTAGTACCAGAAGAAACTTGGCGAGAAATGTGGTATGTTTAACCCTACACATCTTGAGGGACTGAACTTTTATGTGAAAGTTTATGTGTTCAATACAAGGAAGCTTTGTATGCAATCTTCTGCCTCCAAGGAGCAGCTAAGGAAGCTTCCTAACTTTCTCCCTATTTAGGCTTAATCAGCAGAGGACTCGGAGCGTTTCCTCAATGAAAGTACAGAGAGAATGCATACTCCTATAGTGAACCAGAAATAAACATTTCCTTTCCTTATAGGAATAAGTAGAAGCATACTGCTGAACTGGCACCTCTACCCTTGCTGCCAGATCAATCAATATCACTAACTTTTGCTCTTCTTCTATTATGTACATTTCCTTAAGGAAAAAAAAAAATCTTACAATTTTACATATTTATAATTAATGGAATTTTCTATTTAGTTGTTTGAGAGATATATGAAATTATTTTTAAAATGGAGGTATTTCATCTCAGACTTACTGTAAGCAAGTGAACAAGGTCCATATTAGCCTCCAGGGGAAGTGGCATTTCCTGGAGTTGTATCAGCTCATTTATGTGGTTATACAGAGAGTATAGTTTGTATATGTTAATTTTTTTGTCCTCTAAGTAGTCTGGCATTCCCTCATGAAGTGATATCAAGTCTTTCAGGTGGACCCCAAGGATTGGGATCTTAAAGTTACTGCACTCGTTATAGGCACGTCGATAACTATCATAATTTCTGTAAGATGAAAGCAGTTCTGTCATTTCATTAAACACCTAAAAATAAGAAAACAAAAAATTGAAATTGGTTACTGGTTTTTGTTCTGGTCATACACCACAAGAATTTCCTGTTATCGTCAGGGGGTTTACTCACAATGACTCTCGACATGGATTTTAAAACTTCAGGCTTCAAATGAAATCTAGGTATTCACCTCACCTAATTTAACTATCTATAATATGTAATTATGATAGAATCATAGAATGGTTTGGGTTGGAAGATCATCTAGTTCCAACTCCCCTGCCATGGGCACAGACACCCTCCACTAGACCACGTTGCCCAAAGCCTCATCCAACCTGGCCTTAAACACTTTCAGGGAGGGGGCATCCACAACTTCTCTGGGCAACCTGTTCCAGTGCCTCACCACCCTCACAGTAAAGAATTTCTTTCTAACATCTAATCCAAATCTACCCTCCTCCAGCTTAAACCCATTACCCCTTGTCCTGTCACTCCATGCTCTTGTAATCAGTTCCTCTCCAGCTTTCTTACAGGCCCCTTTAGGTACTGGAAGGCTGCTATAAGCTCTTCCCGGAGCCTTCTCTTCTCCAGGCTGAACAATCCCAGCTCTCTCAGCCTGTCCTCACAGGAGAGGTGCTCCAGCCCTCTGATCAGCTTTGTGGCCCTCCTCTGGACTCTCTCCAACAGCTCCATGTCCTTCTTGTACTGGGGCCCCCCAGAGCTGGATGTAATACTCCAGGTATAGTTAGTTAATCTATAGCCTAACCTATAATGCTGGTTTTCCTACATTCCCTATTTCGTCAATAAAAAGAAATAGGATCCTCTCATATCAAGGAGATGTGTATGCAGTTAATGCATAAGTACAGCACAAGCTCTCTGACCTTCATAAAACCCAACCATTTTCACATTAAAATGTGGAATAAAGTTCTCTGGCTTCCAGGTCACAAGCTGGAATTGCTGAAATTGGAAAGTCTTGGCAGATAAACCCTGCACTGTGCTATGGTCCCATCACAACATGACCACAAATCCTACTACAGTTCAAGGTGACACATCTGTGCTTTTAGGAAAATTTTTTTCCCCACGGAAATGAAGAGAAAACAACATACTGGACTTGTTGTAAAGGCCAAATGAGTCTTAAGTCTAGCAGTATAAATAGTTCCCTTGTTTATACAGGTACAGAGGTGATTCTTAACATTATAAAATCAACAGACTGATGTTTTCTTGTGGAAGTTCCTGTCTAACCCTGTGACTTTTAAGTCAAACCATTTGTCATAGTTAAACTTTAACGGGTGTTCCCAAGTCACTAATTACCAGCCTTTACCTGCTTTCTATTAGCGCTTGTGTACAATTTCTTGATGCAAAAAGTTATTCAAATGATGGACACATATGCAGCCCACTCCTCACAATGATAAAATTTGTAAAACAACATGTTTCTAAAATAAGCTTGCTAACTGGTTTTACGTATCTTGAAAGCTGCAACCATTATCAGTGGGAAGTCATACTTCTGGTCTATGCTCCAGGTATGCACTGTTCATTCAAGCTGATCGTGCTGTGATCAGAACAGGTTCATTAGACACCTATATGAAATCTTTCAGGCCCCAAACAAGACAAAATAATAAAGCATATTAGTCTCTTAAGAAGCCATTTAATTGCTAAAAAATATGCTTTCCTTCACAGTTTTAGTAGCCGGAATCTCAACAAAAAATATATCCATCTGTATTTCCAAGAATTTAATTGGAAATTACAACTGATTCCTAATATTCCACTGTATTATAATGTGTGTGCATTAGTCTGAACTACATTATATATTATAATGTGTGCAAGTTTGAACTACATAAAATCTGTCATAGGGAAA